GATACGTTACGTAATCGTGGTGATATTTCTTTTAGTTTTGTTCTTCTAATTGTAAAAGTTGGCTTTCTGTCGGTTATTGATTTTGATGATAATCATCCTGCTACAGGAATTAGTTGACTGATAGTACTGAAAGTTTGTTGTTCATGAACTTGGAATTTGGAAATATGTAGTATTTTTGCTTTTCTCTTTCTAACCACCGAAATCAATCTCTACTCTTAAGTGTGAGTCATTTAGAAACATGGAATGTGAAAACTGTTATTATGCATGTAGCTCCGAATTACTTTTGACTTGTTTTGGTATGGATGATCACACTGTACTTTAGGTAATGAAAAATGTTGCTAAGATACATAGCAGAATTTTATCCTTTTGTTCTGTGAAGGTATATGAAGCTAGTCTGAATGTACTTAAGTTTAAAGTAATGTGAGCTTTGATTTTTTGCATAGCTGCTGGAGCATTCATCATAGTTGAGATGCTATACAGCTCAAGTCTTCTTGCAATTGTTGGGGCTGGTGAACAGGTCTATTAACCTTTTCCTAAGCTGATATTCTTCTAATTATTTATTCATATTTTAAAGCTTCTGATGGTTAGTTCTTTCTTTTCTTGGTTTCAATAGCCATCCTTATCTCCTAGGAGACTATGTTTGTTTAATACAATGACTGGAGTTGCTCTCCAGGAGCTGAATTTCTTGACTTCAATTCTTGCTGTTCGCATGAATAAGCAAAGGTAAGAACTTAGGTGCTGTTATGAATTTGATTAATGGTATAGATAAATATGTAATTCTTTCCACACAGTGTTGCACTGACAATACCACTTTTCTACTAATGCAATTAACTATTCAGGATAAAAGCATTTTGTCTATCTGTGCTGCCTTTTCATCAGTTGGACACATCTTAGTGAGGTGCTTTTCTCTTTCTAACCACCGAAATCAATCTTTACTACGAACCCTTGCTAGCACTCCAAAATTTGATTCATCAGTTTCTAGCATGATGTCTATTAATATGTAGTATGTGGAAACAATGGTGACGTTTTCCCCTTTACTTTCTATTTTTCTTTAAATATACAAGCAACATTCACAAAAGTCCTACACTTCCCTTCCTCTCTGGGTACACAACATAAAACCCTTGCTAGCACAGACCACCCACACACACACGTAATACATATACACACAAAACAGGGATCAACACCAAATCAGCAACCACACCAACACCTCTCTGGATTTATAGCACAACCAAAACAGCAGCCGCACACACAAAAGAAACCTCTATCACGAAATCTACGCTCAACAACTTGGAACAGTAGCCAAACTTACATATTGAACCATTAAAATGTTATCAAATCATCTCACTCTGTAATCAAATCAAAGGAACAGAAGGAATTGAGCCAGAGGGTATAGACTTTTGCCTGAGAAGTAACCATGTGTGGCAATATGACTTTCTCCTAGGTTTAATTCACTGTTCCAACCTCAACCAAGGGTTCAAGTATCACTTTTGAATCTTCCTTCATCACTGAGATGAGAGGCAGACAAGCAACACCCTATGTCAATACTATCTCTTTGTTGGGCTTCCTTCTCTATGTCTATCACAGCTCTGATACCATCTGAAGATTAAGATAGAAACAGAAAAAATAGCAAGAAGACTCTTTTCTGATATGTTAGCATACTGACTTGTACATGTATTTATGCACTTGTTCTAATTCTTTCAAATACCCAATATACATGTGAAAATCTTGTATTCTTGTTTGATTACATTTCCACATGCTCTTGAATTCCTTTATACTACTTAGTATTCTTTAATAACCACTTATATGGTCCTGGCATACAGAATGTTGTGATTCTTGTCCAACTGCTCGCATCAAAGAATGTTGTTAAAAGAAAACTATGCATTTAACATCGTGAAGAGCATTTTCTTTTGTGTAACTTTGAAATCAACTAATTGCACTGCATATTATTGTTTGTTAATAATCTGATTTTCTCCACAAAGAAAATAATATGATTAAAGTACGATCTTGATTATGTAGATTGATTGTCATATTGCAAGAGAAGACTTTCATATATGATATAAACAGTATAAAGATATTGGATACTATTGATACTGTTCCAAATTCAAGAGGTTAGTTTCTATAAGTTTCATTCTATTCTCAATTATGCAAAAAATTGCATTGTCTTTCAGCTGTAAAAAAATTATTTTCATCTGTGGTAATTAATGGAAAATTTCTTTAGGTTGTATTTGTATGTCCTGGGCACATCTCCTCAACTTTATTGCCATATCTTCATTTTTTATGCATATTGCTTCTGTTGAAGTTCATAGGGTTATAGTTCTTATGGTTTGGATTGCAAACATCTAACAATAATATAATAGATGGAGTAAGCTTCTATGCACTCAATGCTATCTGTTAAATCTGGAGATTAGATCGGGAGAAGTTGAAGCTTACTAATGATCTTATATAACCACTAGTTATATGTAGTTATGTACATACATCAAAGAATAAAATTTTGACTAGTATATAGTTATATAGAAAGAATGACATAGAAGGAATAAGGAACACATGCAGTTTGGTTCATAGTAATTGGTGAAGTGGCAAGTGTAAGCAAGGGATAGGGCGGACTATAGATTTTGAATGGAGATCACATTTTCTGTGAAGCCCTTAGGTGAAGTGGAATCTGTGTCTCAAAGAAATGAAAATGGTGGAATGTAGAATGTAGATGGTGGTGGTTTATATTATTTGGGAAATATATCAAATTAGATCTTCTTCTTGCCTGTTCAATCATTCATGTTTTGAGCTTCTCCATCCTAGTTCTTCCCATCTGATCATTTCGCTTAAGTTCTAGTTATTCCATTCAGACAGAATAACTACAAAATTCAGTTAATATTCTATATAGTACAGGTAACATAGTAGAGATCTCTATTTTCCTCCAATCTTTAAATTTCTTCTTAGAATTCATTTCATCTTTGATCATCATATTAAAATGTGAACAATCCTTCCTCCTTCCTTTGAAGAAGCCGTGCTTAAATTTCTTTCCGTACTTGAAATGATTTTGTTGTATCCATGTTACTACATTTCTTATTTCTATAGCCAATAATTACATACATCACTTGCTCCTAGGAAACATTTAACACTGATATTAACAACTCAAGGAAGTTATGCAACATCATTAAACTGCCTTCTGATATTCTACTTAACACATTGTTTTTAATATTAGGACTCTGTGCATTTTCCCCATGTTTGGATGGTTCATTTTTGGCTCTTCCAGCAAGTACAACAAAAGGTTCAGTGTTAGTATACAACGTGATGGACCTCCACTTGCACTGTGAGGTTGTGCTTCCATCTTTTGAACTTATGTATCTAATTCAGGGTTTGTCTTTAATGAGAACTTCAAGGGAAAATATGTTTTAGATTTCCTTCTTTGGTGATGGTTAATAACAATGGATTTGAAAAGCTGCAAAATTATGGTTTAATAGGAATCTATACCAGATTTACTGCATGGGGAATATTCTATTTTGCCAAACCTTAAAACCTATCTAGCCTCATATTCAATTTCATAATTTATACAATTAACATGTAAATTCTAAGCTTAATGATGCACTCTCTTTGAAATATTCCCTTTTTGCCACTTTATCTGTGTAACCTATTAATTTACGGAGTATTATTTTTTACAAAGGGGAATAGATTCATAACCAACTGTTTGGTTAGTACAAACTCTCAATTAATTTAATTTTCTCTCACCGTCTTCTTCTCTGTTTTGTCAACATGATATAAAATGCAGATAGATGCACATCGCTCACCATTAACTGCCATGGCCCTATCTTCAAGGGGAATGTACATTGCAACTGCATCTGAGCAAGGGACCATTGTCAGAGTTCATCTTGTGTCAGATGCTACCAAGGTGAAAAATCATAAACAGAGCTATGTTTTCTGCAATTGCACAGTGAATGTTGTCATAAATATTGTCACCTTTTGCCAACTATAGACCCAGCTTGAGGAAAAAGAGCTTAGCATTGGGTTTACCTAAATTATCTTTTCAAATCATAAACAGGGTTATGTTTGCTGCCATACCCCCACTTATTTCTGCATGCAGATATTAATCATAAATTTGCTACTTCTTTCCAAATTTTGTTAGTATTCAGTTACTAAAATGTGCTTTTATTTATTTATTTTAATGGTAAGAATCCATGTGAAAAGAATGATAGAGTAGTTTGAATGGTCTATAGAGCATGTATGGAGCACTACTTTTCCTCCTTGTACAGAGTGGTCAATGTAATTCTTCTTGTCTAATATACTAGCCATCTAGCCCTGGGATAGCTCAAATTCACTTAAGAGAAATGCACTTGAAATACCCTGGACAAATTGAACCTCTAAGCAGTTCGTTAGATTTATTTTGTTGTGGCCCAATTATAATTATGAATTCATTATTTAGCATGTATAAGAGAGTCATAGAACAACTCCACCCCAACTTGGAGAGTGTGGTTGAGTGGAAGGGACTCATCCATCCTTAACCAAAGGTCAAGGGTTCGATCCTTGGCTTTGGGAATGGAGCAACCTTAAATCTCCAGGCCAGCTGTCCCACCCAAAAGAAGTGCCTACAATTCAGCGAGGGGATTAGTCACTGTGTTCGACGGTGGAAACCCTGGGTATACCCAAAAAAGAAGAACTCCCAGTTCAGGACTCTTTGGAGTCTCCTCTTTGTGAGGGCGGGGATACAGTGATCTTTCATGTTTCATTAAATCTTTGCACCCATGCATACTACATTCTTGGTGTTGTTCTTTTTTAGTTTGTTTGGTATTTTCCATTTCTTGTGTGTGTATGGGATCTTAGTCTGTTTGATTGGCAGTCATACAGTTTCAGGAGGGGGACATGCCCATCAATTATCTATTCTCTGTCATTTGCACCAATGACTGGACTACCTGATATTGTTCTGGCCACAAGCTCTTCAGGTTCTGCTCACATTTTCTCTCTGAGCTACACCTTGAATCAAAGGTGAGAGCTGAGTCCCTTTATACTGCTACACTACTACCATATGTTAGGTTTGTACATATTTTTATTCTTTTATCAGAGTTACATCAGCTTCCAGTATCTAAGTTTGAACCAAATAGAAAAAATGATGATTGTGTCCAATTGCTAGGATTGAAGACCTGAAAATTAAATTTTCCTCTTCTTTTTATACATCTTTGTCTTCATTTCTCCCCCTTTTATAAGCTACATAAATTTTCCTAGCATGGCGATTAACTCTTGCGATGAGAACACCAACTTTGTTACCCTGAGTATGATTGCATATTTGACATCATGAAATCCTGGATTTTTAGAAATTCAGTCATTTGCTTGATTTTTCTACCTTGTTTGATTGCTCCCCTCTCTCTTCAAACAGCATTAAGAACCTCTTCTGTCACATTAATTGGTTCAGCTGGGCTTACTGCCATACATAGAAGAGCATGCTAGAACTTTGTCTCTGATAAGATTTCCACATTAAAGATTTTTCTTTTGATGTTATCATTAATAAACTTGGTTCCTGTTATTTTTGAATATTTTACCTCTTTTCAGAACCAAAAGATCAAGTGGCCTTTTTGCATCAGTAATACCTGATTCTGTTTGTGATGCATTAGATCCTGCTCATCACCATGTGCTTCATAATGCTGTTTCAGCTGGAGTCAAAAGGTAACATCAATTATTTACCCAGCCACGCATGAAGTATTAAAAAGTTTTAGTCCCAACCGTAGAGTAGATGGAGCGCATAAATGCATGTGTTTAAGAGACATGCATTTATTCCGTGTTCAGGACATAATTATTATTATTGTCACCACAGTATTATGATTGCAGATAGAAATGCAAATACCAAAACTCTATATGAGATTCAGTTAAAAATGGTTTAGTTTTCTCTTCTAAATTGGCTTGCATTAGAGACCACCCTTGAGATTCCACAGGTGGCCCATTCAGTCATTAGTCTGGATTACTAATATGATTATGAAGGCTTAAACAGCTTTTGATTTATCCTCTTTGAGGTTGGGCATTAGGCAGGCTCTGTTCTATCTGTTAGAGTTTTACTTCAAAAGCCTTAATCTTCTTATAGTTTTCATTATAAAACGTTATATATATTTTTTCTTTTTGCAGTAACACACTGATCCGCAAGACAGACAAAGTTAGTGAACCCTCAACGTCTGGAACTGTGGCATTAAGGTCAGATCACACAACATCATGCTCATTTTGTTTTGGTGCCTTGTTAGACATTTATCTATTATCTATTTGGTCCTGTTAATTTTTTTTTTTTTTTACTGACACTATACACCAGCTTCTTTCTCTATTTTGTTTTATTTATGTAACCATGTTAAATAGTAATATAATGCAGCTTAAGGAATGTACTCTACCCTTTCTAGACATATGCATTAGACAACTACCTGTGCAAAATACACGATAACTTATGCCTTTGGAATTGAAAATAAAAAAGTACAAATGCTACAAGTTGTCTTAAGTATTTAAATGTTAATACACTTGATATGTAATTGGTACATAAAAATTAAAGTAGGGAGTGTATATGTCTATGGAAATTAAATATCTTCGGTTCAAGGTTTAATTAAAATTTTTAAAATAATTTAAATATTTAAATGTAAATATTATATTACTTTTTTTTTTTAATCAAGAAACTATGAAATATAAGACATCCATAATTTTCAATAAAACAATAATAGTTCAAATATATGATACTCATCTTGTCTAGCCAACACTTGTCTAAAAAATCAAAGTGAGACATTAAAAGCCATTGATATTTTAGTACAAAAGAGTTTTACCCTAATTAATAATAGGGATGTTATTTTAGAAGAACTATTTAAGGTTACTATTAAAAGTCCTTAGTTTTAGCCTTTAGGCATGGTAAACATTGTCCACAAACTTCCTAGTATGAAAATTGTTAGGATATATGGTATGAGATTGCAATGGATTAATTATGGCTAAAGTGTTCCAAACTTGCAACAGAAGACTGCAAAGGAATTAATGTCATTACAAACGTTGCAACAGAACAATTCCATTGCAATGTCTGTTGCAACAGAGATTGAATTCCATTGCACTAAAGTTTTTTTTTTTTGGGTGCTCATTGCAATCAAGTTGTAATAGGCGTTTTTCATCGGAATTGTGTTTTGTTGTAATTCATGATTTGCAGCGGAATTTAAGGGTTTCTCAATGGAATTTTACGGTTGTAAATCATGAATTTTCTTGTAGTGAGAGATAATGCACAAAAAATGTTCTTATTACTACTGTGTACAGAACTTAATTTTGTGCAGGGAGAAAGTTTCAACAAGCTGCCGAGTGACAATTATTTGGCACATAGTTTCACTTGAATATATTATATTGATATTTAGATAGTGTTTTAATGTATATTTGGTTTGTCATTGTTTCCTTATTAGGCAAGATGCGGATAATATATTTATTGTGTATTACGCAATTAACAGACAATAGTATGCTTGTTATAATGCTATTCCAATTTAGTGATGTGTTCATCTGATGTTGGATTTTGGCATTTCGCAGAGCAACTATATCAGTAATAACATACGCAGGATATTTTATGGAATATGGGTACAGCGTCAACTATCAGAACAAGTCCTCCTGGACGTTGGAGCGGGAATTTAATCTTTTAACAATTACTGCAGATAAAGGAGGTACATCTTCATAGGTTCGTTTCATCTTCAAGCTTTTTCAATGCGCTTTTGTGTCGAATGATGCCATCATGACTTGTGTTGTCACCCTCCTTGGCCTCAGTAGTCAAATGCGTATTGAGTTTATGATGATAAACATGGCAGTGACATACTGACATGATAATGTAAAATGAAGTTCTATGCCTCTATGGTAGATTTTTTTTTTAAAAAAAAAAAAAAAAAAAAAACTGAAGTAGAACTGTAAATTTGATTTATCAATATAGATTTGTGTCTCCTGTTGGGGCATTAACTTGCAATCTTCTGCCATGATTTTCTTGTTAAACCTGCCTTGCATTAAACCCCCAAGTATTCCTAAAGTCTATTCTTTCTGTGAACCAAATAATAAAATACAATTCCTATTATATTCCTTGCTTATTCCATTCCTTATGGAATAGCATTCCTATTGTGTTTGGTTGACAACTTTTTAAAACACAACTACGGTATTTGATTACCCATTCAATTAAAAACTTCATTCCCTAATTAAAAAAGATATCATTTCATCTTATTAGTAATATGATTTTTAAGTTTGGATTAGTGCTTTTAGATTTGTGTTTTGATTTTTTTTTTTGTAAATTTTTTTGTTCATATTGGTGCTTTTGATGCCATTATATTAATAATAATCAATTTCCTTATTTTTTGTTTTTTTGTTTTTTTTTTTTTTAAACCTTTATTCCCATTATAGGGTTATACATAACCAAACATCAATATTGATAATCATTCTAATTTCACACTACTATGCAAAATACTTTCAACAAAACTCATACCATTACGAAATATTTGATTCCCATTCTCATTCAGATTCTCATGTGTGAACCAAACACACTATATAGTTGCTTATTTATGCTAAAACGTGCTTTGTGCTTGGTTGAGTTTAAGATACATTGCCATAAGGTAGACGCTCATTTAAAATGAATAAACAATTATAAATTGACATATGCTCTATAATTGATCGTGAACATAATTTTAAGAAATAGAAATTTACATTTTTAAAATAAGTATGGAATATAAATATATGTAATACAAATGAATATAAGCTTTAATAAGTAGTTTAGGGCCATATCGTGAAGCTGCTGTCTGGGTTGGATATTACACCGCCGGCCGGATATCGTGAAGCTGCTGTCGGGAAAATTCCTATGCTTGGACGGTTGAAGCTGAATTGTGATGCTGCATTTGATAATAATCAAAACACCATGGGTCTTGGTTGGATTTTGCGGGATGATTGTGGTAGTTTCTTGGCGTTAAAGGGGATGTGCATGGAAGGTCAGTACACGGTAAAGGAGGCTGAGGCTGTTTGTGTACGGGAAGCTCTGAGCTGGCTAAAGGACACTGGCATGGGGGAGGTTGACGTTGAGATGAATTTTCAACTAGTTTTTAAAATGCTTTATTTTTCAGCTTCGTTTAATTCATCTTTTGGTTTTATTATTGGTGATTGTAAAGAAGTTGCATCATTGATAAACGATGTCAACTTCTGTTTTGTGAAGCGATATGCGAATCGCGCTGCCCATACAATTGCGAGGGGAGTCGTTTATGTGTCAGGTTGCGGGGAGTGGTTCGATGATCCTCCCCAGTTTCTTGTGGACTATCTTTTAGCTGATCTAATGAATTAAACTCTTCTTTTCAAAAAAAAAAAAAGAAAAAAGAAAAAAGCTTTAATAAAATGGAAATTACTATAGAATACAATAACTTGGATCATATAAATGTAGACTGATTTACCTTAGCTATAAACATCCTCTAAACTTCTATTTTTATCTTTTGAAGTCTTTTGGGATTATGTTTCTTATCTTCATAAATAGAATAAATAGATATCTCCATATATTAATGTAAGGGAAATTACACTTTTTATCCATAAGTTATAATTAATATTGTAAATTTCATCATTTTTCTAACAAAATATTAGTAATAAAATTTGTGACGCCATTTATAGCTTAAGAACGAAAATTGTTTACCACCTATTAGAAAATGATGAAATTTATGTCAATTACAACTTAGGAACGAGAAATAAGTATAAAGGACAAATGCTAAGTGCAATTTTCCCATTAATAATTATAAAGAAGGTTAAAGACGACAGTGGAGCAACTGTTGAAATTGAATCCATTTAACATTTTGTTATTGTTGATGTAGTAGCATGATAGTTTAATGGCATATGCTCTGCAAGCAAGCTGCATCCGCCAGGCCGCGTTTGTCCAACACCAACATACAATTAAATATCATCAACAACTTATAGTGACTATAATAATTTTACAATCACAACCAGCTTAGTTGACGTGAGTGACTGTATACTCTCGTCCCTTAAGACTTAAGAGAGGTCGGGAATTTAAACTCCCTTTCATATGAAAAATTTAATCTGACCAACACTTTACCCTTTAATTGAACCGATTCAATATGAACAAAAATTAATCTGAGTATGATACGAGTTTAAAAACGCCTCCTACAGTTAGGCTTAGGCTCAAGACACCGACAAAAAAAAAAAAAATTTCACAACTATATAATTTTTTATGTCGCTAGGTAATATCAAAACCGTTAACAAAAGTGTGCATGCAGCAAAAAGTTAGCTAAAATAAAATCAAAATCCAAATCCTAAGACCAAATACACAAAGTAAAATACATCTCCAGCCATGAGAACAGCAGCGCTACTGCAAAAGTCTCCAACAACCCTCACTAAAGACCAACCCATTTAAATAGAATATATATATATCATCGACCTTTTGCCTTGACAAATTTAGTTCTTGAAGCCTTCCTCTCCATCTTCTCTCTCTTTTTCCTTGTCTTCTCATCTTCTTCACCATCCTGCAAAACCATTATTATATTAGTCACACCCCATAGAACCACAAGTAAATAGCAGTATACCACCACCCACAGTGACACCAAGATACATACCTCCGAACCCATTGACAAAAATCCTTTCAGGAATCCAAATGATTTGTATAGTGCAAATCCTGGTATCTGGAAACCAAAACCATAATCCACTTAAAACATCAACTGTGCCCCCTCAGGTTGTTGCTAGTTACCAGAAGCAGATCACACTGAAAATGCTGGAAATAATAAACTAACAAACACATTTTCCCTTTCTATTATTATTAGCAAGTTCTAAATAAGGAGCCCAGGGTCACAAACTGCAACAGTTTCTAGCAATACTAAGACAAAATCTCCCTAGAATGTTTACTAAGACAAATCTCCCAAGAATATTTTGGACATGAATGGACTTTATTCTGATGACTCTTTCAAGTCTTACACTTTTACCGGCATAAAGCAGAAAAGACCTCAAACTTTATCGGCCTAGCCTAGGGGCAGGGGTCAAGTTGGAACCAAGCCAACCTAACCGACCGACAAAGCTAGGGACCTGAAAAATCTATAAATTGAAACCTAACAAAACTGTAGTTTGATGTGTTTGGTTCAGGTAGTAAAAATTATGGAATAACCAATTTTTCAAGCAATTGAAAGACTTGAGATGAAAGTCTCAACAGCCTCAATTTGAAAATTGCATCTAAGACTATGGTATCCTAGCAAAAGATTTCAAGATGAATAACAAAAACAACCTACAAGGGTTGTACTACTATAATCAGTGCTAAGACTCAAATCTGGCCAGAGAGGGGTAGGGGAGAAGCTGAACTAGTTGAATCTTTTCATAGCCATGAGGCCCATGACAATTGAGGGTTGATGTTTGAGAAGAAATTAGGGGTTCTCTGTCTACTATGGATTCCATACCTAAATATTTTCCCAAATGACAGGCCAAAGATTATCTAACAATGTAATACTAACAAGAACCATCCTCTCCTATAAACAATAGAGGATTCAAATCATTTGCAGAAAAAATCAACCAGAGATCCACCTTTTGATCCATGTACTTTGCCCATCTGGGCTGGAGACTAAAGGATCTAAGTCTCACCAAAGTCCAAAACCAATCCACTGAAAAAAAGAAAAGAAAAAAACCCAAAAATTTCAAAACCTAAACTAATTGAACATCCAAAGATAAAAACACTTTTCAACCCAAGTTTTAAATTCTAAATGTTGTATCCATACATGATTTAAAAAGAGAAAACACACCAAATAAGGTACAAAAGGTCTCAAACTCTTAGGCCTGGTTTAGAAGCCCTTAACAAAGCCAATTAAAAGAAGAATATTGAATATGCAACCTTCCCAGACAATGTAAATGGACAAGGCTACAAGAGAATAGGGATAAAGAATAGAAGAGCAGCTGAAAACTCTATAGCACTAATTGGTTTAAAGAAAATTGGACAGCTTAATGCATGCAATGTTGTATTCATCAAAGTAACAGATAATCACTAAGGAGACTCATCAATAGAACGACATGAACATTGTCTTCTACTAGCAGAACTTTAAACAGACAAAAATAAAAAATAAGAAACAAAAATCTCTATAGTATTGGAAAGAGCAAGTTTGCATAATGATATATTGGAATGTCAAATTTTCAACTTTTCATTTAAGTCATTTATATGGGCTAAACTGCTCTTTTATCCATTTCCAAGGACAGACAGCCATGACCTTAACTGAGGTGTGAAATATGGCCATGAAGGCAGAACTCTTACAAAAAAGCAATGCCAAGTAGGGCAGCCTCGCCCAGAGCTTAAGAGAGAAGAAAAGAGACCAGCACATGAGGTTTGCAAAGGGCATAAGAAATTCATCAACATTCCGTATGCACAACCAAATATCAATCAATAAATGTTTTAAATGAGAGACTAGCTATGCATCTAACAGCTGCCCAAGGAAGAAGATGGCGAACATAGCTGAATAAACTAAGTTTGAAGATGAACTAGATGAGAGAATGAGGTAGAGGATGTTTGTGGCCTTGATGAGGAAGATAACTACGAGCTTGAGCATGCAAGTATTGTCATTCTGAAAATTGACACAAAGCAATCTGACTAGAACTGAGAATTGAAAGAGATTTAGAAACCTATAGAGATTGGGATTACATTTAATAGTATTAGGAAACTATCACCAATAATACTTATAATAGTTTGTTTCTTTTCTAAATTAATTAAATATTCTGTTATAATTCCTATTAGAAGAAACCTATAAAGATATGGTTACATTTAATGGTATCACAAAACTATCACGAATAGCAATTACTTGCAATATTTTGTTTCTTTTCTAAATTAAATATTCTATGATAATTCATAGTAGAATTAGAATTGGAATTCCCCCTAATAAGTACACTTGTAGTCATGGATGAGGTTCAACTTTTCAATAGATTACTATTCTTCTTAACTTGAAGCTAGTTGTTTTTCTTTTGCACTCTTTTAACCAAAAAGAAGTCTCTTTGGTTCTCAGGAGCCTATGCAAAGTTCTCCTTGATTTCTGCTGCTTCAAATAGTAATATAAAAGGGCTAAACAAGTTATAGAACCATTTTGAGAAAGCAAAGTCCAATCAAACTATAGCATCTTCGGTTATTGCAATTTGCAAACAATATTAAAAACCTATGGGAATCCACAATGCTAAATAAAACCCATGCATATTCACACGGCAGACACTATTGAAAATCACAGGGGCCACCAATCAACATTAGATTTTCACTATTCCTCGAATCTCTTCTTTCTTTCAACTTTCCAATTATATTACACTTGTAATTCAACATAGAAAATGTGCTCCTAAAAACATGTCCAGCACATTCAACTTTTTGAGACAACCTCTATGTTTGGCAACCTTTAACATGTTTGCAAGCATGTCATAGTTTAACAAATGCTTCTGATAAAGAATATAAATTGAAGTATAGAAACTACAGCTTTTAATAACTACAAGAGTGTAATGAGGCAAGAGTTTATTAGGAAAAAACTGAAGTTATAAAGCATACCACTAGGTAAGTGTACCAAAACTTGTCCGACAAGATAGATGCAAGTTGGACAAAACATGTGATATAGATCACGTCATGTAGATACCTGCAAGAATAAAATGAGGTAAGTGAATCCCTAAAATGACCAGAAAACAAGCATATAATACAAAACTTAATACTTTGCTAGGATGCTGCAAGGGATACTTAATACTTTATACGATAATGTATCAGAAAATTTTCTTCATTTCCATTTTATTTTAATTTCCCCCCAATCCCCATTATGCTTTAAGAGCCAAATTTCTGGAAAACTCTCATGCAAGATGACACTATTGCAAAAAGAAAATGCAACCATAATGAGTTTCTTTTGCTATAACAACCCAATTTAAAGCTACAAGGGTTCTTCAATACACAATCAGACCAAATTTCAACTAAAAAAAACACATGGTAAACATATAGAATTCACATCAAAATCTTTTCGAACTAATGCTGCTCAAAATATAAAGACAAAATGAAAATGATACCCGCAAACTCCGCCAGTACTCATATCGTATCCACCATCAAAGAGCTCTCCATCATCACCATAACTGGGTTTAGCCATGGCGGCCAATTGTTGGTAAGGTAAAATGTAGGCTACAGAAGTGAATACTAGCCCGACCCAGTGCATCCAGGATAAACTAGAGTAGAAAATCCCAAATCTCACCAACATATATACAGCCTATATACGCACAATTAAATGATCAATTAACGGAAAAAATCAAAAATAAAATCGTAATTTTCGAAATTAATAGTAAAATAAGAAAAAGTTTTTACATTGCATATAAGGATAATGCGAAGGAGGGTCCTCATGTGCCGAGCGTTCTCTTCCTTGCGCTTCTTCGCTCCTTGATTCGCCATCGCTGAGAACAGAGACGACAACCTATTACGGTTTCAGGAAGCTGATCAAGAAAGCAATGATGCTTGTGGCAGTAAGCGGTGAGGAGTTCGGGGCAGTGACGAACTGAAATATTAGAGGCTTCGATCAGTGGCGATGTCGCCGGACTCCGCTGGGCGGTGGCCGGAGAAGCAGCAGATCGAAGATTCCAAAGACGCGAAGAAGAAACGTCCAAAGTGGAGAGAGGAGAGACGACCAGAGTTGCTCGGCAGCGATTCTGTGTTGTACTGCTGTAAATGTGTTAATTACGGAGTATTATTTATTGAGTTAATTCCCGAAATGGTCATCCAACATTTTCTTAAATTGAGTTAATTTCAGCAATGGTCCCTCCGACTATAGTGATTTTTCAAAATTAGTCTCTGACTTTTAATTTGTACACTTTAAGTTCTTTGACTTTCAATTTCTTTTCAATTGAGGTCCTTTCGTTAGAATATGATTCATTAGACTTTAAATGAAGGGGTAAACTCGTCCTTTCACCTGCCTATGTATTATTCTTCGTATTTCTCCCTTCGTATTTCGCTGTTATACCTTGTAAACATCTCAATAATAGAGGAACGCACACAAGATTAGTCAGCAAATGGAGAACGACGAGGAACATTTTAGGGTTTCGACTAAGATTATCTTCATATATATCGCGTATACAATGCAGAAATACTAAGAATAATACATAGGCATGTGAAATGATGAGTTTACCCCTTCATTTAAAATTCAATTAAAAGTATTCTGACGAAAGGACCTCAATTGGAAAGAAATTGAAAGTCAAGGGACCTAAAGTGTCCAAATTAAAAGTCAAGGACTAATTTTGGAAAATCAATATAGTCAGAGGACCATTGCTGGAATTAACTCTTCTTAAATTGGTTCCTTGACTTTTAATTACATACTAAGTAAATCGTTAACTTTGGCACGAAGTAAGTGTTAAAATAAGGATAAAATAGTAATTCAAGTTTTGCATTCTAATTTAATGAATTTGCAACTTCCTTTCTGTCGTTTAGCACGTTTTTCGTCAAATTAGGTTTTTGTTCTACTTAATCAGTGATTAAAATATAGGATAATCTACTAGAACGCCAAAAAAAGTTCATCTTCAACTTCATCTATAAGCTTTCCAAGGCAAAGATTTCACTATGGTGATGTTCTTGTTCGTTTTTGTCAGTGTGGCACCCAATCACTACTATAGAAATGGTATACTAGCCCGCACGGACTTAGCTCAATGATTTAGTGTGCAGTATTTGGGAAAAGAGATCAATGTCCGAATCTCGGGGACAGCAATGTGGGAATTATGTCCAAAGAAAATAATTCTCGTTGGTTTCATTATGCTAAGTAACATTTAATACTTTTAGATTTGACAATATTACCCTTAGATTTAACACTCACTTGACAGAAATTATAACGGAGGACTATTTGTGGTAAAAAATGAAAGTCAAGATATGCGTTTTGGTTGAATTGAAAGTTGAGGACTAAAAGGAGTATTGCCCCAATAGTTAGAGGACCATTTGTGGTATTAACTCTTTTATAAATAAAATCTTTAATTGTGTGACAATGCAACATGACAAATTATTGTGTGGACCATGGTCCACATAGTGTTGTATGAACCATAAAAGAAATTACATTTTTAATGTACTAAAAGTACATTATTTGTGTACTAATTTAGTATTCAAATAATGTATTTTTCCTGAAAACAAAGTACATTTTTAATATACTAAAAGTACATTATTTGTCTAGTAAATATACATTATTTTATAGTATACAAAATATGGTTAGAGATGTCAACGGCGTGGGGTGAGGGCGGGGACATACCCCATCGCTGCCCCCGACTTTCTTCCCACTCCCCGTCCCCGTCAGGGAAGGGAAAAATCCCACATCCCCAATTCTCCATCCCCACGTGGATTATCCGGGGACGGAAAATCGCCACCCATTTATAAGTTATACAAAAAATTAAAAATTAAACATTAAGAAAACATTTAAATAAATAACGCATATATATTAATCTCCAACTTAATATATGCATTTTATAAGCATGACATACAATGATAAGAATGCTTCTAAAAGAGTTTTTTTTTGCACTTTTGATCCCACAACTATAGTGGCACTATCAGGATTGATCCACGACTTTCTAACGTTGCAATTTCAGTCCACGACTATTGTTTTTGTTGCAAAAATGGTGCTTCCCGCCAATTTTTCGTCAAAATCTCACCGGAGAAAAAAATTCTCCATTTCAAGCAGGGATAAAATAGACATTTACATTGACCTTGCAATTTCGGACCTCTATTGACATCTTATTCTGACCAAAGTGTGAAAAAATCAAACAAAAAAAAAAAAAAATTGCCAGAGACGAACCATAATATGCTCTCATCTCATCATCTCATCTGTGAACAAGAGGAAAACATCGATTGCCATCTTCAACACGTCCATTGCCGATCTTCATCTTCTTTATTTTTAAGGAAAACATAATGGCTACATCGTTGATGAGATGGGAGCAGATTAGGGTTCGTCTCTGGCAATTGATTTTTTTTGTTTGATTTTTTCGCACTTTGGTCAGAATAAGAGGTCAACAGTGGTCCGAGATTGCAAGGTCAATGTAAATGTCTATTTTATCCTTGCTTGAAATGGGGAATTTTTTTTTCGGTGAGATTTTAACGAAAAATTGGCCGGAAGACCATTTTTGTAACAAAAATAATAATCGTAGACTGAAATTGCAAGGTTTGAAAGTCACAGATCAATCCTGATAATGCCACTATAGTCGTGGGACCAAAAGTGCAAAAAACTCGCTTCTAAAATTATATATATACATATGTGTGTTGTGTGGGCATACATACATTTTGGGGACGAGACGAGGCGAGAAGAGTACTCTCCATTCCCGTCCCCGTAAGGGCGGAGAATCAAATTCTCCATCGGGTATAATTGACATCCCTAAATATGGTCCACACAAGTTGTGTGGACCATGGTTCACACAATAACGATTAATGCAACATAATTACTTCTTTACTGATACATTTTTAATTCAGTCCTAACTTCTATCATTTGTCTTCATCTAAATCTTTTATCCATGCATTTCAGAAGAAACAATAATATGCTAATAAATTTAATCAAAGAGTATATTCAACTTTTGATATTTCAAGCATATTGGCAATTCAATATAGAATCCACAACATTTAACTCACATTCAAACAATGTCACTTTTGATCTTTCAAATTTAATTATGTAACTAGTATTAAATGTCTTGAGAAATATTAGTAGCACGATATAGAATTGTCACTATACTACAGTGTAGGGGCCAAAAATGAAAAGACCGCTTTAATAAAATGATTGAATACAATAGTGAATAAGAGTATTCAATTAAGAAATGAAACGAAAATAATTATAAAAATTCGAAATTTAAGTCATTTCACAAGAATAATCCACAAAATAAGTGTCTAATAACATTCCCATTTTTTTAAAGATTTTCCCTGTTCCAAAAGACCATGTCATTTCCCAGGTGAGACCCAAATAGTCAATAGTGACGTATACAAGGGCAAATGGTTTTATATACTAAAAACCAAAAACAAAACAAAAAATAATCCCACAGGCATCCCAGAATTGTCACACCACTACCTCTGAAATGAAATGGAATATGATCCTGTATTTGGATCTTTGACAGCTTTGAAGTTGTCGACACTCATCCCAAATTTCCCCAAAATGGAGTTTCCCATTTCTTTCATCTTCCCTGCACAAACATTAAAATGATTACATCAACTTCATTTTCCAGACACAAAATAAACATACAATACAATAATAATTGGTAACAGCCCACTTGCTAAGTTTTTACTTGTTTTTTTAACAGAGACCTCCATTACACAGATACAGGATGTTACGCAAACAACATAAAACTAGAGAGGAACCCAATTCATTACCAACTGTCATAGACAGGATGGTATGGTAGCAGCATCATTTAATTAGTACTCGTATTTTTTTGAAAAATAGTGCCGAGGTAGTAGTAATACAAATGAGGAGATATTTAAAGCTCACCAATCATTTCTTCCTTCATCTTTTCACGCTTTTCATCTGCCAGTGGTTTCAAACGAACAATTGCTCTTCTAGCTTGATCATGTGAAGGTTCCAACTCCAAGATTTTTGTCATATCTATAAGAGGATACAACATAAGAAGCACTTTATCTTATAAATAAAATAGTCAATTATGAAACTAAAGGATTTGCAACACCAATTTCAAGCATGCGGATGCTTGTCAGGGGCACTCTTGGCCTATTCTGGTGTGTGTTAGGAGGAAGGGAAAAATGTGAATATCAGCTAATGTTACCAATATCAGAGTAAAAATATGAATTCAATATAACATCAATCAAAGGAACAACAATAAATGGAAATGTCCTTGGAGATAAAATAATACAGAGTAGCAGAATGAAATGTATTCACCTTTGATAGCCTCATCATAATGTTCAAGCTTTTCATTAGTCTCTGCCCTTCTAAGCAATGCTTTCACATATGTAGGATTTAGTTCTAACGCCTTGGTGCATTCACTGATTGTCTCTGTATATTTTCCCTGTGAATTAGAAAACATTATTTCTAGAACATAAATCAAGCACTAAATTGAGAAATAGTTAACAAACACATGAAATGGCAGCTTGAAGTTACTTGGGGAAAACTTCACTTGTATAGAAGATTTTATGTAAAAGTCAATAATGATTGTTTCTCACATCATCACTCATGTTGGGTTTGGAACACTGGATTTTCATAAGCTCACTGGTAGTGACCAAGTTGGTCAAGTCAAACATATGCAAAGATGTTTTTGAGGTATTTTGGTAGGATTTTCATTTGCTCACTGGTATTGCCTAAGTTGCTCAAATCAAAGGCATGCAAAGAGTCAATGTTTTTGAGGAATTGGTTGCAATACATTTTGTTGTCCCGAGACCCTAGAAAGTAGTGTTCTAACAGCTGTTCTTGGTTAAATTGTTTACTTATTTACCTATGATTCCTATCCCTAGGATTACTTTTCTATCTTTGTTTAATAGGAATGAAAACAAGGCTAATTTCAAAAGGTTAGGCCCAGAACATGGCAACTAAAATATAAAAGATGTATAACAAAGTTAAAGAAATGATCTCTTCAGTAATGAGCATTTTCTAGCTTTCAAACACTTCAAAACAATAAAATTTTAAAGGATTTTGGCTTTATACCAACTGCAGAACACTAATGATACATTAAGCAGAAAAATATCCTAAAAACTCTCACAAGAAAACCTAAAAAGTCAACCTTT